GTACACGCCTAAGAATGGAACTGCTGGGTCATACAGCAACCTGTTTACCAAAGCAGCTGCATCAGTTTTCATTACTGCCAGCAGCATACAGGGTGCTTGTTCACTGCATCCTGGCCAACACTTGTTATGGTTTCGCGCGTGTGTGTGTGTGTGTGTGTTTATTATAGCCATCCTAGTGGGTGTGCAGCCCCTGGAATTTCGATTTGTTTTTATGTCTTCCTTGCTGTCCCCCAGTAGAAGGTCAGTTGCTTGATGTCTGGGATTGTCGCTTAATCACCAGAAACCTTGTGTAAGAGTTAACCATGGGCTGAGTTTGAACCTTGTTCTTTTTGTTTATAGTGTATGATCTTAAGCAAGTCATGCAGCTCAAGCTCTCTAAGCTGGAGTTCTTTCATCTGCAAGATGGAAGCTTCTGGAGTTAAGGAAAAGAAACCTGATTCCGCCTTAGGGGCTAGGACGGGGCCTGGGCTATGGTGATTTCTCCACAAAGGTTTGTTGTAAGGATCATGGTCATGACATCCCCAAGTGCTTAGGACCTAGTAACTGTGACATGAGCATTTGCTAAATGAATCAATGAATCTTTTGCTACTGCACAATTAGCCCTCTTTTTTTACATTCTATCAACTGCTCCCCTGACTCCAGACAACATTGCTAACATTTGATCACTCCCCAGATGAGGCAGACAGAAAGAGTGGCTGGATCAATGGGAATGGTTCCCTGGAAAAATACAACCTGAAAGCCATGATGTGCACACTGTGTATTGAGAATGGGATGGGTAGAGAGTACAGCTAGCTTGTATCTGCAAAGGGAAGGAGGAATAAAAGAGCTTTGCTTTCTTAAGATGAAAAACACTCAGCCTTCTTAGAACAAGGATAACTCCAGGAAGTGGCTTGTTGAAAGTTCAATCAATGACCCCAGGGAAGGGAAGTAACAATTCTATCCACACTTGAAGGCTGCAGAGGGGGCATGAGAGCCTCTTAGGAATTGAGGGCCCAGAAGATGGCCTCACCTCCTCCTTCCAATTCTGTGAGGGCTGCCAGGATTGGGCAGAGCCCCTGGGGTCAACCACCAGACAGCTTGCCTTGGCTCCTGTAGGCGTCTCTAGAATCCATCTTTTGCCACATTCTACCCACACGGGCCTTCTCTTTCCTCCTTTGAACACACCGACTCAGTGACACCAGGTTTATTCCTCCCTCCCACCATCCTGACCCTGGCACCTGCTGTTCTCTCTGTCCCATGAGTCCCTATCCCTCCTTCCTCCCTCATTTCTCTTCAAACCTCACCTTTCAGAAAACCCTGGCCCATACGCCAGCTGGAAGGGCAACTCCCACGTGAACCCCATCCATTCTCTGACTCTGCCAAATTTGTCTTGTTTTCCTTTTTCATATTTATTTTATGTTTTTAATGGGAATATTTCTCACATAAAATAAACCAAACACACATGTAGCCAGGTGCATGCCACCATGCCTGGCTAATACCTATGTATCCATCTCACAGATATCATAAGTCGGCAATATTTGCCACATTTGCTTACTTCACATCTCCCCCCTTTTAATCAATTGTATTGAGGTGGAACTTATGTATAATAAACACGTACATGTTAAGTGTAACATTCATTGGGTTTCGGCAAATGCACACATAACGGCTACCCCAATCCAGATATAGCATATTGCCATCACCCAAGAAAGGTTCTTCTGTCTCTCACCCTGTTATATTTTTCTTCCTAATATTTAGCATTACCTGAAATCAAAAATCTGTGCATTGTCCATCTCCCCCACAGGAGTGTCTGCTCCATAAAGTCAGGGACTGGTCTCACTGATGTATCCCCCAATCCTGGTACGTAGTAAACTTGCTTTTAAAAGGAGGGAAATGTCACTGTGACTTATAAACCTGGGAGGAGCGAAGTCCAGGAGGACATGGATGGCCTGGGCGCCTGAAGAATTCTTAGCATCGCTCATATTTGAATCGATGAGTTAGCAGGGTCATGCCCTAAAGACACCGCATCTTCCAAGCCCTTGAGAAGTGGCAGGAAACCCTTAGCAACTGTAGGGGTTTGAACTTCTCTTATTACTCAAGACACTGAGTTGACCATTCCTGTTTTGAAAATCTGCAAACTTGGATACCCAGGGCAGGGCAGCAGGAATGTAAGGGGGCGAAAGTGGACAGATGAGGTATGATGTGAAGGGGGCAGGTCTCATCTAAAGGGGGCACTGATCTGTGGCCAGATGTTGGGTTAAAGAAAAAATTATTCAATGACACTTTTTTTGGGGGGGACAGAGTCTCACTCTGGCACCCAGGCTGGAATGCAGTGGTGCCATCTCGGCTGACTATAACCTCTGCCTCCTGGGTTCAAGTGATTCTCCTGTCCCAGCCTCCCAAGTGGCTGGGATTACAGGTGCATGCCACCCCACCAGCTAATGTTTTGTATTTTTAGTAGAGACAGGGTTTCACCATGTTGGCCAGGTTAGTCTCGAGCTCCTGACCTCAGATGATCCGCCTTCCTCAGCCTCCCAAAATGCGGGGACTACAGGCGTGAGCCACAGCACCTGGCCCTCAATGACACTTCTTAAAGTATGGCAAGGCAAACTTTGTTGAGGACCGTTATGATAGGTATAGGGACCACAGTGATGGGATATTATAGTCACAGAGAGAGACTGGGCTTGGCCCCAAATACAGCATAGACACGTGGGAATCTATAGTCAAGGAGCAAGGTGGGGTCAGGGATTGAAAAAAAATATTACTGAGAGGAAGCATCAGGAGTAAAGGGGACTCTGGCTAAATCAACCTAGCAGGATTCTTGCTGGAGGCAGGCCAGGGTGATCAGACATTTTCTAGAGGATGACAGAGAATGAGGAGGCTGTCTGGGCATGATGGCTCATGCCTGTTATCCCAGCACTTTGGGAGGCTAAGGCAGGAGGATCACTTGAGGCCAAGAGTTCAAGGCCAGCCTGGGTAACATAGCAAGATCTCATCTCTTAAAGAAAAAAAATTAGCCAGGCATAGTGCCACATACCTGTAATCCCAGCTGTTCAGGAGATTAAGATAGTAGGATCCCTTGAGCCCAGGAGTTTGAGGTTGCAAGGAGCTATGATCATGCCATTGCTCCAGCCTGAGTGACAGCGTGAGAACTTGTCTCAGAGTGAGAGTGAGAGAGAGAGAGAGAGAGAGAGAGAGAGAGAGAGAGAGAACTGATTAGATACCGAGGGCGAGGGTTTCTTACTGAAATGACTTAGCAGGGTTCTTTGCAGAAACTGGATTTTATAAGGTGGTGCATAGATGGGCCTAGGAGGTGTAAGAGCCTGACTAAAGTTTGGTCAAGTAAAGAGTCTTTGTCACTTGCCTGGTGGGAATGCTGGTGTTGCTACATCTTCCTGTTTTTCAAGCATGGCAGGAAGTCCAGATTTTAAAAAAATGTGAAATAGCTTGATTCTTGAATTATATAATAATTAGCAAGTAATTATAAGTTAAAATATGATGCGGGGCAAACAAAACCTGCAGGCTATTTGCAACTTCTGAGTTAACATACGAGGTTGTTTCTTGTTTGTTTGGGGACTAACTCACTTAGTACAGGAATCTTTTGGTTTGACTGTTCACCCTGCCAGCAGCTATTTATTGAGTATCTGCTATGTGCTAGGCATTGTTCTAGAGCTGCTGGGTATTGTGCTGGGTGTTTGGCATTAATTTGCTGAAAATGACTGACACCAAAGAAGATAGAGATGAAAGATAGATAGATAGATATGCATAGATACATACCTAGATGATAGATAAAGATAGATAATAGACATAGATAAATAGATGATTGATAGGTAATAGATGGAGAGATAGATTAGATAGATAGGGATCTTACCCTTTAAAGATACATATTGAAATATTACAAACAATATACTGACTGAGAGTTACTTCAGAGGAATATGGGGAGTGGAATGAGGGTATAAGTGAATGGAGATTGACCATGGGATGAGATTTTTGAAGCTGAGTGATGTTGGGATATGAAGATGATGGCGTATACTCTTCCCTCTGGTTTTGAATATGACTGGAAATTTCCCACACTAAAATGCTTGTTTTAATGTCCTGAAGTATATACAGGTAAAATGACACCATGTCAAGGACTTAGTTTAAAATATTCAGCTAAAATGTTTTGCAAGTCAGGATATAGGCGAAACACCATGTGGCAAAATGTCAATAATTGTTACAGACTTTTGATGGATAGATGGAGATTTGTTATGCTAGTTTATTATTTTGTATATAGTTGAAATTTTCTACAATATGTTTATTTTTGGTAAGGGACAGAGAAGTAGGAGGTCTCCTGTTTTCTAGGTATTTTTGGCAGTATAGAGTCATGTGCTTAGGTGTTCCTGTGAATTTTCCACAGTGTGATAGAGTTGACATCAAGGGGATGGGTGCTCTTCAACAAGGGATGTCACCGTGCTGAGTGTTGCTATGGTGTGGTTAGAAGTGTGGAGTCTATTGGAGATTAGAGGTTAAGAACAGATTTTTTCACTCAGATAGTTCCTCTGCAGGGCATTCTACCTCCCAGGTATCCCATGCAGTCAGAGTATCTGGGATCAAATCAGCCTCCCTGGGTCTAAGTACCAGCTCTACCACTTTCTTGCTGTGGCTTTGGACATGTTATTTAATCCCACGAGCCTCAGTTTCCTCATCTGTTAAACAGAGTTAATACTTCATTAGAAGGTTAGTCATTACACGTGAAGCACTTAGCGTAGTACATGGCAGTGTAACATGCATTTATTTTTTATTATTGCTGCTTTTGTTGTTATTGTTGTTGCTGTTGATTGACCTAAGAGTGGAAAAAACTCAGAGATAGATGAACCACAGTAATTGGAGGCAGAATTGAAAAGAAGTCATATACAGAGACACTTCTGTCCACCGAAGCACTCACAGCAACCCATTTGTGAGCTGCTGCGGTCAATTTCCTGCATGGTGGCTGCAAAAGGAATAAGAGGAGAAAGCAACTTCCTGACTACTTCCTTTCTCTGCAGAATGAAGTGGAGCTAGGGGAGCTGCTTCTGTCACTGAATTATCTCCCAAGTGCTGGCAGACTGAATGTTGATGTCATCCGAGCCAAGCAACTTCTTCAAACAGATGTGAGCCAAGGTTCAGGTACCGTGTGATTCCCTCCTTCTCTCTCTTTATTAGTGAGGCATCTATGTTTGTGTGGGGGACCTAATTTTCTTTTTCTGCATCCTGAATGAACATTATTCATCTCAGGATGAGGCAGGTAAATGATGCCACCTTAGTAACCCTACTGGAATTGGGGAGTTGACTGAGACCAGTTGTAATAACTACAGGAAACCTACCTCTTTGAACCCAAGGAAGTGACTTGGCCTTTCCAAATGCTATTCCTACAATAAAGACGCCATCCTGCAGGTGGTGATAGTGTACATTGACTATGCTTCTCACCCCGCTACCTCCCCAGCTGAAGTCTTACTCTGTCTCCCAGGCTGGAGTGCAGTGGTGTGATCTCGGCTCACTGCAACCTTCGCCTCCCAGGTTCAAGTGATGTTCCTGCCTCAACCTCCAGAGCAACTGGGACTACAGGCGTGTGCTACCATGCCCAGCGAATTTTTGTAATTTTAGTAGAGAGAGGGTTTCACCATATTGGCTAGGCTGGTCTCGAACTCCTAACCTCATGATCTTCCCGCCTCAGCCTCCCAAAGTGCTGAGATTACAGGCGTGAGCCACCGTGTCCAGCCAACTATGCATTCTAAGCAGTGAGTGTAGAGGACACACCCTGAGGGTTTTTTCCCCCAGCTCATTTCATGTGTACCATAAATCTTCATGAATTCCAGCTCTGAAAAGACTTGTATTTAAAGTATATACATTATAGCAAAAACCATTCAAACATGACTTTTAATGGAAGGGAACAGATTCCATTCCATCTGTCTGTTGCTTCTCCCATGACAGCAAAGGACATTACTGTGAAAGCACCTGTAATCACAGGGATCTCTTCAGCTCAGTGGTAGAATTATTGTCTTCTCTAAGTGCAATAGCTAAAATAAATTACTTTTGCAATAAGGTGACAGCTAGAAGACAATCTGCATTCTCAAAAACCATATTATAAAAACAGAGGCTTAGAAAGGGCCATTGGAGGCAATGGTTTTAAGACTGAAGAGTTTCAGACTCACTGCAATGGGAGAGGCAGTATGATCAAATCATTAAGGGTTGAGGAGTCAAATGATGTGGCTTGCAAATGATGTGGCTTTGGGTAAGTTACTTAACCTCTATATGCCTCAATTTCTCAGTCTCAAAAATTGACATAATAACAGTATTCATCTTGATAAGTTGTTTAAACAAATATTAAATTAGATAATGTACATGAATCCCTTTGTAAAATGTAAAATGATCTAAAGATGAATTATAATTCTGCCATCTCTATTCTCCTGTATATGGGCTATGGGCTCACTGAAATGATAATGGGTTTCCACAGACAGAAAGCCAGGGCAGGCTCTGAGTCTGGTTCTGTCTCTACCAGCAAGATCTTTAAGAAATGATTTCTCACCTTGAGTTCTCAGTTTTTTCTCATCTGTAAGATGAACACAATGCTGACACATGGCAGGAGCTCAACAAATATTAGATGGCTAAAGGAAAAAGGAAAGGGATAAACAGATAAGCAGATGGATGAAAATGATGGTTAGATAATAGATGGATAGATGGTTGAATTGTCAAATAGAGGGGAAACTAGACGGATAGAAATGAATAGATAAAAGAATGGTGAGATGATGAATGGATCAGTGAACTGATGGATGGGAAGATGGACGGATGGACAGCTGGATGAACGGATGGACTGAGATGAATGAAAAGTTGAATTAGTGGATGATAGAAGAATGGATGAATGAAAAGATGGATGGATGGATGGGAGGTTGAATGGATCAATGACTGGACAAATTAGATTTCATGATTTCTAACATTTTATGATGCTGTATCTAATTTTCAGACCCCTTTGTGAAAATCCAGTTGGTGCATGGACTCAAACTTGTGAAAACCAAGAAGACATCCTTCTTAAGAGGCACAATTGATCCTTTCTACAATGAATCCTTCAGCTTCAAAGTTCCCCAAGAAGAACTGGAAAATGCCAGCTTAGTGTTTACAGGTAGGTAGCATTCCAAAACCTGATGAACTCCAGGTAAGACTTGTTCAACTTACTGTCCTGGAGACAGAAGACATCTAGAGAGAGTTATATTTAAGAACTTAATGTCTGCTGTTCAACTACATGGGGTTGATGCCATTTAACATCTATGAACTTGGGCAGGACTTATACAGCCCTATAATATAATTGTTAGAAATGTGGACTTGAGCCACATTTCCTCATACTGCCACACAATAACTGAGGTCTTTGGCAAGTTACTTAACTCCCCTGAGCTTCAGTTTCCTCATCTATAAAATGGGAACAATATATATAATGGTACTTGTGGCTTAGGTTTGCTGTGAATAGTAAATGGCTTATGACTTTGGAATATACTTGGTACATAATAAGTACTCACTTTGTGTTTGTGTTGATGATGATGGTGGTGATGATTCAAGTTTCCTGCAGTCAAATAAGAGAAGCATATGAGAAAACAGGGTCACCTAACTCAGAGAAAGAGATTTTGAAAGTTTCCTCAGAGGATGTAGTATTTAAGTAGAGGCTTCATGTGCCACTGTCTGGTAGAAGGTAGTCTGTTTTTCCAGGGTATAACCTAATCTATTATTTCCAGAGTATATTAGTTATTTATTGCTACATAATAAATCACCCCAAAATTTAATAGCTTGAAACAACAAACATTTATATCTCATCATCCCTGTGGGTCAGAAATCCAGGCATACAAAGCTTTGCTGTATAGTTCTGTCTGAATATCTCTGACAAGGCTGCAATCAAAGTATTGTCTGGAACTGCAGTCTCATCTGAAGGCTCAACTGGGGGAGGATCTCTTTTCAAGCTCACTCACAGTTTTCAGCAGGATTTAGTTCCCTGCAGGCTGTTGAACAGGGGAGTTCTTCCTGGTTGTTGGCCAGCGACCTTCCTCAATTTCTTGCCATATGGGCTTCCCCACAGGACAACTCACAACACGGCTTTCATCAGAGTGGTCAAATGAGGGAGCAAGAATGGCAGTGAAGAGTCTTTTCGTAATCTTACTCTGGAAATGACATCCTCTTGCTTTTATTATATTCTGTTCACTAGAAGCAATTCACTAGGTCCAGCCCCCACTCAAGAGGAAGGGATACCCCAAAGGTATTAAGAGTGGGAGGTGGAAACCACTGGGAGTCACAGTAGGAGCCACTCACCACAATGGGGATGGAGGTGGTAGGAGTAATGCTTATCATTTCTTGTGTTCTAATTACAGTCTGTACTTCCCTGTATCATTGCTAATATTTACCACAACCCACCCTGTCAAGTTGATACATCATCCTCAACCTACAGATCTAGGGACTGAGGCTTAAAACCCAAGCAATCTACACAAAGTCTCAAGCCAATAGAATCAGGATTGAAGCTTTGGTCTTGCTAGCTCTGCATATCAAGGGATCTATATTTCCTCAAGCACCTAGGTAGGGCTGGCATTGGGGATCTGACATCCTCCTTTGAGACATCCTTCTCCAGGGTAACTGGAAGCTCTCCTCTGTTTAGATCTACTCTAGAACCCTGGGCTCCAGGTCTCCCAAGAAATCAAGCCACAGCTGAAAAACCCTTGCATGTAGCATTTCCCCTACATAAGCTTATTGCCCCTTCTCACCAACATTGCAAATGTCTATACTCTGAGACCCCTTCAAAGGAGGGTGGTTCTGGGCTTTCTCAAGGCCTGTCACCCATAGAGTCTGCACTGAATCGGCGGATGCCTGCCCTACGCAGATATAATGATCCCTTCTAATGCAATCTGTGATGGCTACTGTCCAGATGCAGTTACAAATAGCTAAGGGCCTCACTCTCTCCTAGGTTTCAGGCCAACACAGAAGACAGTCATTCCTGAATCCTTAAACAGTTGGCAGGCAGGCAGTGGGAACTATCATATATTAAACGAAGACACAGATCAAAACATGAAGTCTCTTTTCCCAAGTCCCTGCTAAGAATAAGGGACCTCCTATTGTAAGCTTAGATGAGGTGACGGCCCCAGGGGAAACTGAGAGCCCGTATGGAAAGCCCTGACATTTCATATTTTACTTAAGTTTTATAATAAATATAGCACACATGTGTTATAATGAGTGACGCACTGAAAAGATATGTAAGGACAGAGAATCAGAGGAGAACAGGGGTTATGTGCCTGTGCTGGGGAGCTGGTGTCTGGGCCGTGGCTTTGCCACTTACCCACTTTGGTGGCCCTAGGAAAGATCTGTGTGCTTAGTCTTTCTCATCTCTAACATGGGGATAACAATACAGGGCACGTCACAGGATTGTTATTTATATTCAGTAGGATCAATAAACACAGTGCTGAGCACTGTGCCGCCCACAGTAAGCCCTCTAGAACTGTTAACTGTTATTAAAAGGAAAGTGTAATGTCTTCCTTCCCTGGCTCCCTACCCACCCACCATGGGGCAGCTACCACCTTCTCCCTCACTCCCTCACATCCTCATCTAGTTTTGTTTATTTCAGAATGTTTTCTTGCTGTGGAATCCCTTTTTTCTTTTCTTTTTTTTTTTTTTTTAATTTTTTATTGGATTATAGGTTTTGGGGTACATGAGCAGAGCATGCAAGACAGTTGCGTAGGTACACACATGGCAGTGTGCTTTGCTTTTCTTCTCCCCTTCACCCACATTTGGCATTTCTCCCCAGGCTATCCCTCCCCACCTCCCCCTCCCACTGGCCCTCCCCTTTTCCCCCCAATAGACCCCAGTGTTTAGTACTCCCCTCCCTGTGTCCATGTGTTCTCATTTTTCATCACCCACCTATGAGTGAGAATATGCGGTGTTTCATTTTCTGTTCTTGTGTCAGTTTGCTGAGGATGATGTTTTCCAGATTCATCCATGTCCCTACAAACGACACGAACTCATCATTTCTGATTGCTGCATAATATTCCATGGTGTATATGTGCCACATTTTTCCAATCCAGTCTATTATCAATGGGCATTTGGGTTGATTCCAGGTCTTTGCTATTCTTTCTCTTTTTTTTGTGACAGTCACACTGTATTGCCCAGGCTGGACTGTAGTGGCATGGTCTTGGCTCATTGCAAACTCTGCCTCCCACGCTCAAGCAATTCTCATGCCTCAGCCTCCCCAATACTTAGGATTATAGGTACATGACACCATATAATCTTTTTTGTAATTTTTTTGTAATTTTTTGTAATTTTTGTAGAGATAGGGTTTTGCCATGTTGGCCAGGCCGGTCTCAAACTCCTGACCTCAAGCAATTTGCCCACCTTGGCCTCCCAAAGTGCTGGGATTATAGGCATGAGCCACCATGCCCGGCCTAGGCCTAATATCTTCCTTTAATGCCTTCCCCTTTCCAGTTTCTTCTCCCTGAAGTCATGGCTTTCATGTCCTGCTGCCTATCATTCCACACTTTTTTCCTTGTTCACATAAACAATATCCACGTACAGAGGGTTCTGTTCCTTTAAAACATTATTCTTGATTTCAGCAAGTGTGTATTGAACATATTCTGTGCCAGGCACTGCTTCCAAGTTCTGGGAACAGAGTAGTGAACAAAACAGCCCTAATCCCTGCCCTGGCGGAGGCTACCGGGACATTCCAGGGATACCATGCTTTGGTTTAATTAACAATGAATGTGTTCATTGCCTTCAGGTCAATATGAATGCAAATGGACTTAACTTTTTACTTTTAATAACTGCATTAGATAATTTTGCATGATGTAGTATGATAAAAGCTGAGGTTATTTATTCTGGGGGTTGGAAGTATGACAGAGCTTCGGGGATTGTGATTAGAACTCTGGATGCAAGTCCCCAGAAAAATACATGGAAGTATGGAAAATTTTGCGTATAGTTGCAGAGGTTTTTGTTTTGAATTCCTTGAATCCCATACGGTCACCACATGAGGCTCAAATCAAACTAGAAAGGTCACACCGCACCCCCCATACTTCTCTTATTCAACCCAGAGCACTTCAGGTGACAGCTGTCAGCAGGGCAGTGGTCAGCTGATGCCATCAGACAAGGCCTGTACTCTCCATGCACAGAAGACCTGCTTCTCTTCTGTAAGTTTTGGGACCCTGGCTTGGAAGTTCATGCTCCTCTGGTTAAATTTAAGCTCATTGAAAATAGGCTGACTGCGGTGGCTCATGCCTGTAATCCCAGTGCTTTGGGAGGCCAAGGTGGGTGGATCACTTGAGATCAGGAGTTTGAGACCAGCCTGGTCAACATGATGAATCCGTCTCTACTAAAAATACAAAAATTAGCCGGGCAGGGTGGCACATGCCTGTCATTGCAGCTATTGGGGAGGCTGAGGCAGGAGAATTGCTTGAACCCAGGAAGCGGAGGTTGCAGTGAGCCAAGATTGCGCCGATCTTCTTTCTGGAGAAGGAAGCACTGCCTCCCTGCCCCCTTAAATCAGGGATTCTTAACCCTGGCTGTGCCTTAGAATTCGCTGGGAGCTTTAAAATGCTGCCAGTGGTTGTACTGCATCCCACAGAGACTCTAAAGCAACTGTACTAGGCTGAGGCACTGAGCGTCTATAAGTAGCTATTTTTTCAAAGTACCCCAGATATTTCTATTGCTCATTCATTGTTCAGAAGCACAGCTGTGAGTGGAAATCCCAGCTAGGGTGGCATTTTACATAAAGGGTGCTGGCTGGAATCATATGAGAAAGGTGTCTTAAGCCACTATGAATCTCAGCAAAGCTACAGTTCTCCTGAACTCGAATTCATAAGGTTCTAACCTGCTTTATTTGTCCACTGAGGGAAAGAGCTGTCACTTCTAGGCCAAGGATCCAAAGCCCAGCCTGTTAGCATGTTTCCAAACACTTCACAGCAAAAGTAAGGTTGATTTGCAATTTAGCATTTGCCGTGAATCCCTGATAAAAGCCTGTAATTAGCTGCAAGCTGGACCTTCTGAGCAGTTCTTTTCCTGTGTGGGATGAGGATTCGTCTGCAATTTTCAATCAGGTGGTTTCTGCAGCTGAAGTTTAAAAATAAAGAACGAAAAGAGGGGCAAAATTGCTTTTCACCACCCAAG